AAATAAATAATTAATTGAATTTAAATAAAAGAACATTTTCTTCCAATCGAAAAAAATGCAAATAATAAATGCAAATAAATAATTAATTGAATTTAAATAAAAGAACATTTTCTTCCAATCGAAAAAAATGCAAATAATAAATGCAAATAAATAATTAATTGAATTTAAATAAAAGAACATTTTCTTCCAATCGAAAAAAATGCAAATAATAAATGCAAATAAATAATTAATTGAATTTAAATAAAAGAACATTTTCTTCCAATCGAAAAAAATGCAAATAATAAATGCAAATAAATAATTAATTGAATTTAACTAAAAAAATTGGATACGTCTTATACGATAACTATAAAGTCAATTATGCTTGAAAATAAACAAAATGCACGGTAATTGGCTATCCCACAGTAACCGGCTGCACTGTCCTATGTCAAAACTTGCCGGTGATGATTCGTTCGATAAAGCACCGATAAAGAGAATCGAGTAGATCGACAGCAAGAGGTCGAGATAGGCGCGCGGCGGCGTGCTTTTACAGCGGCGTAAGTATGTAGAACAAATTTCTAATTTGCCTCTTCCCGTTGCATCGTCCATTCCACGTATAAACCATGCAGAAAACTGCGTTGCTAACTAGACCGTGCCGCGGTGCCGAGGCTGGTGCACCGAGCTCGGGTTTTCGTCTTCCCGCTCCACTAAGTCGCCTCGGCGAGCCCGAACTCGCCTGCTCATCGGTCATAGCAATCACGATCGAGGGTCTTACGGTGCTAAGAAACTTCCGCGACAAATTATAGCGATAACAGCTACAGCGGCAAATCTTTGGACGAGGTGAAAACTTCCTCGTTAATCTCGGCGGACGAGAATGCAATGAAGTCCGATGACAGAAATTTCGATCGGCGACCGGCAAACCCCCTCCAGGTAATCCAGTCGAAGGATTTCTTTGGGGATTTTTCTATGAACGCAGTACATTCTGGAGCTGATATAAAAAATATCTGACGAAATCGAAGTAGTTTTGCTAGCCTTTTGCTCCAAAATGACGCGACAGTCGCTTTTCGTTAAGAGCAAGAAAATATTGTAAGCGAGTAATGTAACTATGCTGTTAAAAAAATGTATAGTATAGTAAAATGTTGGATCAAAATTGGCGAACTTGATTAAAATTATCGAAAACTTTGTTCGGCTGCAAATGGCATCCCTGAAAAAAATTGTTACAAAGGCCGCGTATTTCGTCAAACTTGGCAATTTTCAATATAACAAACATGACCTCGCATTTAAATGGTTGCAGTGGTGAGGTTGCATCGAATTTAAAATCGAAGAAGGCCATCTTAAAGCAGAGGCTTCAAGCTTTAATTACAAATAAAAGTCATCATCCTACGATGATTTTTCGCGGAGTTATGGTCTGTCGAAGTCGGTCAATATTTATCCAAAATTTCTCTGTGCTATAATTTTCTTCAGCAGTGCACGTTTATCTGTAAAAGTTTCGAAGTTCCTAGTACCGTAAAAAATGATTAACAAAAATCGTAATCTATCTCCCAAGGAATGATCGAAGTCGCCTATCGATAAATGAGCCAGTAGAAGCAGAAATGATGTGGGGCCGAAAGAGTTAATTCGTGGATAATGAAGCAGGAATTAAAAGTTTTGTGAAAACGCAGTAACATTAAACATTGTTACAACTCTTTTACGCAAGCTACTTTCAAGCTTCAGCTTTAAATAATACAAGGAAACTCAAGAAAATATGGCTGGTCGTTATACAACAGCATTTGCGTGAGTGAATTTCTAAAGAGCAGCGTTCAAAAACATGGTCGAAACTTTTACATCCACTTTGATATGCCCCATCTATTTTTCATTGTATATATTCCAACTTGTTTCGATATTTTTTCTATCTCTTTTTTCTGTTTCTGTTTCTTTTCTTTCTGTTTGTACACGTACGATTGCTATATAAAATTTCTTTATTTGTTATTACTAAACTGCGGCATTTATAACGAACTATAACTAATAAAAATTGACAAATATATAAATATAAACAAATATAAAAATAAACAGTAAACATAAACAAATATACAACAATAAAAATAAACACATATAACTAGTAAAAACATTTATAACAAAAATTAATGAGCACACTGAAGACGTTAGTCGAATGTAAGACTCTTGTCACACTATTTTCAATGTGTTCAAAATATTAAAAGAAGAAACACATACATCGTTTTTTAACTCTTATTTTGTACAATTCACGTAGGCAACTTTTACTTTCCATAAAGTTACGCGGTCTAGTTATTACTTCTTCTGTAACAAAGGGTTTTTCTACCTGTATACATAAATAAATTATTATTACAATTGGGTGGGTGTTTCATAACAGGTACTTTCATTTTATAAAGAATCGAAGTATAAAGGGTTAATCGATGGCGCCAGAAACGACTGTTTAGGCCAGTATAGAAAACCGTGTCACCGTGAGATTGACTTCGGCGAAGAGATCGGAAAGCTGCGCGAAGGTTGGAGGATGCCGATGGTTTCGCGTTGGTATGCTAAGGGTTAATATCCGTGGAAGCGCGAGGAGGCGGCTCCTCGGGACGCCTAACTGAGGCATCTTCCTCCGCGAGTTTTTATTACGCTTGTTCCATATTTTCTGCTCGCCCTCTTTCGAGCCTCTCTCCATCCCCGGCGTCCCTTCTCCCACGTTCCGTGGTCTCCTTCGACTCCTCTCTCTCTCTCTCTCTCTCTCTCTCTCTCTCTCTCTCTCTCTCGCTTTCTCTCTTTGTAGACCGAGAGAGAAAGAAAGAGGAAGAGAGAGGGAGAGACAGAGAGAGTCCAGTGTCTCGCTCGCACCCCCCTCCGCCGCGCTTCATCTCCGTTCATCCCCCATTCCGTCGCGTCGCTCGCCTCTCTCATCTATCGTCACTCCATCCGTCCCCCTTTATCTTCACCCTCGTCTCTGCCGCGTCCCTCCGGTTGCCTGCCGGTGCTCCTCCTCCTCCTCCTCCTCCTCCTCCTCTTTCACCTCCTCCACCTCGCCGGGCTCCACACCTCCGCTTAATAATACACACCAGCCAGCCACCCGCTACTACAACAGCACACCACCGGCACCGACAGTGTGGCATACCACTTTATTGATCTTCTTTCCCCGCTTTCACAGGTTTCAACCCGAATTTTCCACCACTTTATGCAAGCGTCGCCCTCCTGCCCGTTTACGCGGCAGCCACCCCGCGGATTCATCCCTTCGCCGTCAATAAATCGAACCGATCCTCGGCCGGTGCTCTATGCTCACGAATCAAGAGATTCACCGGTCACGAATCGATAGAGATGCTAGCTTGCCGGGCTAAAAATCCGGCGACCGATTACGTAGTCATTTCAATGGTATTTGCTATTAATACAGGGTTATCCTAAATAGACTAAAAACTAGGAAGTTCTTTCTTTTTTAACAAAGAATAAACTGTTTTGAATTTTGTTGGGTTTTCTTTTTCTATTTAATTATCAAGCATCGTCTATGACGATTATGCGTGAAAGATGACATCTGTCGACTATGTTTACAGACATCAATTCGAATATTAAAATGTTCGATGACGTTTTATGGCGTTATTTGCTCGTTTAACGCTAGATTTACGGAACCCGTCAAAATGGCGGGTTTATTCTTTCATTTACTAATTTTTTGATTTATGATTATTCGTATCGTAAAGATACACTTATGAGTTATTTATTCAATTTATATGCTGTTACTTACGGCAAATATTACAATAAGATTTGTTAACACGTTGAACGTCATGTCATTCATATCTGGGTGACGGCTGCGTTTCCTTCGTCCAATTAAAGATTTTGGTGGTAATTTATAGTAATTTTATTTGTAACACAACTACGACGAGTATAGACAATATAGGGTGACGATAAAGTATGAAGTTAACAAAAACAAACATTAAAAATATACTTATACCGATAATAAAATAAGACGATAAAATATGAAATATGCTTATACTAACAAATTATACTTATATTTAAATTTGTTCTAAATTTATGTTCTAACAGTCAATCAGCGACATTTCTGCGTTGCAAATTATCGCTTTCTTTCGATTCTTGTGTAAACTGAATTTTGTGTAAGCATGCAAATGCAAATCTTCATGCAACATTCGCCACAAACTGCTATAAGAAATGTTCAATTCTTGAGAACGACGTGGAATTGATGTTGATGATTCATTAGTAACAATTTCACGAACGGCTGCAATGTGTTCATTCGATCGAGCTGTTTTTGGTCTGCCAAACTGTGGTATATCATGAACAGATCCAGTTTTGTCAAATTTTTTAATCAAATTTCGATTATGTACATACCGAAAAAATCACGTAATTTACGATGGGCATTTTTTTATTGAACACTGATTTTTAAAATAAATTTGAATAACTTTAACACGCTCTTCAATCGTGTACGACTCCGTCGTTAAAATTGTCTATCATTGTAGGTTAGTAAAAAAAGAAAGTGACAATAAACAAACATGGTGTTTGACAGATATTCTCATTCGACATAGTAAAGGTACTTCTGGATAACCCTGTACATTACGGTCCGGGCTGTTTGTGCGAAAACTTTTGCGTGTAGAGATTCTTAAAAAGAGGGATTCTTATCTTCGAAACGGAAATTAAAGTTTTAACTATTAAGCTTTTTTATTATTATAAGTTTTGACTATTTTCAATTCTCCAGTCAAGAAAATTACTGTTTTTAGTCATCCGGCATTTCGCGTTCGGTCAAGAAAATTACTGTTTTTTTGTCATCCGGACGGTAATACGTTTATACAGATAAGAGAATGTCATCTGCTGTTGTTATTTTGCTATTTTTTGAAATTTTAATCCCTTGCACTGCAACAACATGTCAGACTCGCGTCGAAGATTTTATACAGAATCTATCGAGTGCAAATATTATCCTGAATAGAAACAAAATTTGATTCTTCTGCTATCCAAATCTAGGATTCGAAGTAAATGGAGACATACTCAACGATATTCAACGATAACTAACCAAGATTTTCTATTTGTTTCAGGTAAGTGTCCAACGGCCATCGAGTCTACCGAAATACCAGGCAAGTCGATTTTTTTATTCACTAAAATCGCGCTCGTTTAACTCCTTAAGTGATCCGCGATATTCGAGAATCTTTTTCCGTTGTTAAATTGTTCGCTAAATTGTCCTATGATTAGGAACGTATAAATAATGCAATTGAAAAGTGAAGAAATAAACATAATAGAATGGATTACAAAATATTAAAAACGATTCGATTTTTGACAAATGTTATTCAGCAACGTTACAAATGCTTGCATTACTCGCGCTACTCACTTAAAGAGTTAAACGTGTCGTTCTGTCAGTCGATCAGAATAGCCTCTGTCAATTCTTGAGATGCTGGAAGGATCAGCGTGAAAGACTCAAACTGTTCGTTTCGATCTAGAAAAATTGCTCCGTTTTAAACCTGATTTGAGCATTATACCGATTGCTTCGAATAAATATTTTCTCATCTAAGATAATTATCTTAGATTATCTAATGAATTCGTTTTAGTCGAATATTCTATTCGAATAATTCATTATTCTTTAGTCATAATTCTTCATTTAGAATAATTCGAAAAATTCTTTATTCGAATCATTGCTTATCCGAATAATTAGAAAAAAAAATTCTTTATTAGAATAATTCTTCATTCGAATAATTCGAAAATTTTTTATTCAATTCGAACAAGTAATATGTAAGAAATAAATCGATAAACTATGAAAAAACACTTTATATTCTATCAGTTTCATTCAATTCAATTATTTCTTTTAATAAAAATCTTGATAAAATTTCTCTTAATTTAAAATTCGAATGCATTTCTATTCGAATCAATTCTTATACGAATGAATTCTTATTCGAATGAATTGTTATTCGAATAAATCTTTATTCTAGATAAATCTTTATTCGTTCGAATACTTATTTGATAGCCTCAGAGAAAATTGAATTCGAACAAATTTGTATCCCATTGAATCTTTATTCGATAGCATCGGATACAATTTTATTCGTCAGTCTTTATCTTTTATCCGTCATCCGAATAAAATGTTGCTTCACACTGTTTTAAACTGCGTACACAGACTATTCTGATCAACTGTGTATGTCTATAGCAAGCGTACGTAATCAATAGTTAATAGAAAACCGTTAAGTCTATAAATGAAACAAAATCGATTCGATTATAATTAGAGACAGGACTTTTCTTAGCAACCAGATTCGCATGTATTTGGATCAAACATAACACGAAAATGTAAAGTGCATTTTTTTCCGTTTTCTTATGCAACGATCTGCTTATTAAAGATTTCGTAGTTATAGAAGAAAATTTCGTCAATCGATTTTGACCGATGATGCCCAAGAAAATAGGTGATTCGTTCCACCGCGCGGCGCCGACACGACCTGTCCGCGATCCACAGAATTCTGCTCGACATCCGTCACCGGTCAAGATCCTCTCACGAGCGTGTTCCTCCGTCGCGCGGAATTAAAACGAATCGATGATCGAATAAAAGCGACCCGGGTTTGTTCAGCGCGAACGTTCATCGTGCGAACCGCTTCGCAACAATATACGCGTCGCAATAATGCGCGGCAATTTTTCAATGAAGCGAGAACGCTTGTTGCCGGGAACAATGCTCGATGCAATTAAAGTGCAACCGGGGGGTCGCAGAATTCTCGATCCAGTCGGATCACCGACGAAAAGCTCGGGAAATTGTTCTTCGGCCGTGCCTTGGCTTGCGATTGTAACCGGACCGCGGTTGCTGTTTGCTCGCCGCACGGTGTGTCGTTTATATGACCCTCCGGAACAAAAATCGTAACTTCTAAGCTAATCAATTCTCGACCAAAATGCCTGAAGAATTTGTCAAAGAAAATACAAAGACGCGTCGATTTGCACGAAAAGATTATATGATTTCATAATAAAGATTCTTGCCACCTTTATCTTTCATTGAACAAAATCTTTTACGCAGATTTTTATTAACACAATTTATTGTTAACCCAATACCGAGTAACTTTCGTCCGAAAGATGTTTTTCATTAATTCCGCGTTAGCGCCTGAAAATTCGTAGCGATCGTTTCGTACGTACGGGTTCGAAACCGATTATGGCTACGTATTTCGTTGAATAACTCGGGAGATCGCAACTTTTCGCAGAAAAAGTTTTCATAATATCAAAATGTACTATCCGACGAATATGTCGGAACAAGAATTCCAGGATATTTCGAGCAGTTTTTTCTCAAAGCGTGGGAAAATAAATCGAACTTGATTACTTCATTTCGGCTGAATTATTACATTGCATATAAGTATTATAAAATTTCTATAGATTAATTACAATCATACGACGCCTGGCCATCGTTTTCTATAGAAATTACTTCGTACAGTGGCCTTTTGTTCCTAAGACGATGTAAACAAGCTGCGTTGTGGCTAACGCACCGTTTGATTTTCCTAATATCCGCTCGGAGAACTCGCTCGAAATGAATCTCTCGCTGAACATTTTGAACAATCTGTTGCCAAATACGATTATTTAGACATTTCAACACATCGTACACATGGTTGACGGCCACACTGTGCACCGGTGCCAATTATAAACGCGAATCTCCGAGTCGCGAGCAGCCGGCGAGTCGTTTCTCGAAGACGAACCGGACGAAGGCGCGGCTCTCGATAACGATAAGCCGACGCGGATAGGCGGCGATCAATTACCAATCCTCGTGGTCCGGATATCTGGAGTCGGTGCACGAAGGAAAACGTCGTCGTGACGAAAGGAAAAGAGAGATTCGTGGCCTGGTTTCTCGGGATCAGGGACGCCGCCGTCCTCGAGAGTAAACACTGTTGCTCGACTACAACCTTCTTCCTTATACTCCCCGGAGCGAGAGTTTCCTTTCATCTCGGTCCTACCGCGTCTTCTTCCCTCCTCGTCATAGGTTTCTACTCATCGTCGCTTTCAAAAGAGTCCTCTCTTCGAAAGCTGCCGAACGGACGGTGCTCGCTTCGCTGCTGCGATCTTTGCTTTGTTAGTCGCTGCTGCCCGCAGTCGCTGAGAACGCCGAAAAGCCCGAGTCTCGGGCATTATTCGGATCGTTTCGAATCCACATATATTTAGTTAAGATAATTATCGGAATTAATTCCTTTTACTCGAATATTTTATTCGAATTATTCGTCATAAATTATTGCATTTATTCGAATAATTCTTTATTTGAATAATTCTTTATTCGAATGATTCTTCATTCGAACTATACATTATTCAAACTATTCGAACTATTCGAATAATTCTTTGTTTGAAGAACTCTTGAATTCGAATGATTCGTTATTTGAATAATTCTTTGTTCGAATAATTTTTGAATTCGAATGATTCATTATTCGAATAATTCTCGAATTCGAATGACTATTCGATGACATTATTCGAATAATTCTTGGATTCGAATAATTCTTTGTTCGAATAAGTCTTTATTTGAATGATTCTTTATTCCAATAATTTTTTATTCGAATGATTATTCGAATAATTTTAGAATTCGAATGATCCATTATTTGAATAATTCTTTATTCGAATAAGTCTTTATTTGAATGATTCTTTATTCCAATAATTTTTTATTCGAATGATTATTCGAATAATTTTAGAATTCGAATGATCCATTATTTGAATAATTCTTTATTCGAATAAGTCTTTATTTGAATGATTCTTTATTCCAATAATTTTTTATTCGAATGATTATTCGAATAATTTTAGAATTCGAATGATCCATTATTTGAATAATTCTTTATTCGAATAAGTCTTTATTTGAATGATTCTCTCTTCCAATAATTTTTTATTCGAATGATTATTCGAATAATTTTAGAATTCGAATGATCCATTATTTGAATAATTCTTTATTCGAATAAGTCTTTATTTGAANTTATTCGAATGATTCATTATTCGAATAATTCTTTAATTCGAATAATTCTTTATTCGAATGATTATTTGAATAATTCTTGAATTCGTATGATTCTTTATTCGAATAGTTTTGTATGAACAGTCGGCAGATTGAATAAAAAAACGATCGAGCCTTTGAACCTTAATCGAATAGTCGAACCTGTAGCCGAGTCTGCAGTCGATCTCCGATCAGAAAAAGTAAAGACGCCGGTTCCAAGGAGGGGGGGGGGGGGTTTCGATTCCAGCCGCGTCTCATTCACGGTCAAGACTCGTCGCCCATTTCCACGGAATCTCGCCTACTAGGAACGGTTCTGTTTAGCGAGGGCGACACGGTCGTGATTCGGTTACGTGGATGCGCGATACACGTATCCCGACCGATTGCTTACGGCTTACGGAGCCGTGGGTTTCTATAAACACAGCTCCGTCGTAGCCGTAGTCGCCGTCGTCGGTTCACCCACACTTCTCTATCGCTAATGAAAACAAGTAGGTAGTGGATGTCATTCCACGGCGCGGCAGTGATTCTCATTAATATTCGCGCGAGCCGTGTAATTAACCGGGGGACGGGGCACGCCTAATCGGCGGACGAATCCGTCGTTAAATTGCCATCGACGCGCGGGTACCTGCCAATTAACGGGAAACTCGTCGGCTACTAAGGACGGGGCCGGCCGGAGTATTATTAACCAGTAATACAGAGTTACGAAATAAATGTCGCGTCGCGTCGCGTCCCGCTTCGCGGCGACGGCCACGACCAATCCTATGCGTCGGACGTAAAATCCGTTCTTCGCACGCGATCTTGCGCGCTTTCGCCTTCGGAATCCTAATTTTTTTCACCTCTTATCTGTCGGCTGATAAGGCGCGACGTTGCCATCGTTACCTTCGAAGACCTTTTATTTGGTTGATTTTTGGGGCACAGTCGTTCCGATCGTTCTCCCGATTGTTCCGAGCTCACTGGTCCGGTTTCGATCATTTCAAAATTCAAGGTCACCAATTGAGAATTTCTCGAGAAATCCTGAATTTATTCGTGCGAATATGCTCTTGTAAAGTTACGTGGAAAAAGTCGACAATTATTTTCGCATTATTATTCGAGTAATTTTACGAATTATTTGAATAAATAATTGTTCGCACAACTTTACAATCTATATTCGACTGTGTTATTTGAATA